AAATTGAAAATTGAAAATTCGTTCGAAAGATATTATTTGGAAATTTCGCATATCACTTTTTATACGATTAATTTACGATTTTGAATCTAACCCTTCTCATACATAGATTCTAACTAGATGCTAACTAAAACAGTTACAAAATAACAGTCTCACTAACATATTATTTATCTAAAAAATGTGCTTTGTACAATTTTGGAATATTTTTGTGTTTGAAACTAATTGTGAGTGTATTATAATAGGTAAAATATGATTATCGCGTTAAATTCGGTATCTAAGAAATAACATTTCTAAGTCTCATGGTAAATAATTTAAAAAACAAAAATGTACTTTTTTTCATTCATTAAAATACCAGCTTTGAACTCAAAAATAATAAATAGTGCTTCAATATTTATTATTATAATATAAGAAGAATATTATTTTCCACGTTATGTAATGGAAAGTGCTTTCCCCATATACGTATGATTAAGTGCATAGTGTAACTTAGCGGTTAATAAATTTGATTGATATACGTGATTGGCAATAGTTTCCAATAATATGATTGCTTTATTAAACATATTTTTTTATTTATGGTAAAACAAATGACACGCAATGAATTGATTGTATGTACTGTACGTAGATATACGGACTTGTTGCTTGCTTATTAGACTTTGATGTTCCAATACATTTTATATTTCACTTATAATATTATTTCACATGGCATTTCTGGCTTTTATACTTGCTAATATAATTAAGAAATATAATTATTATTAATAGATTAAGAAAATTGGCAATATTTTTTTATTTGCTGCTCAGAACAATCAATTATTAGAAAAATTCACTGGATGTCTTAAATGAAATGCATATCCTTAATGATAATAATAAACATGTTCGATGAAAATACATGATTATATTCGAATTAAAGATTTAAAGTTATTAAAGCATTAGACAATTACTATAACTTTTCGTTTCATAATCATACTTTAAATAAGTAGTCGGTTTTTTGAAGAATATTTTTTTTTTCAAATTTAAAAAAAATATTGTTCATTTTAAATTTGTTAAAATATTAGAAAATTTTGAAAAGTGCCGAAAACTTTTAGAAATTTTAAAATAAACTAAAGGTTATGATATGCGGGAATAATAAATATTGCTTGTTTCAATAATTACTGAGTATTTAATTGTATTTATAGGATTTATAGGATTTAATTTAATTGTATATATAGGATCGAATATTGTAGAAAACTAATTTAAAATACCGCTATATTAAGATCAAAAGTCTTAGTCTAATATTTAATTTTTTTGTTATTGTTTCACGTTATCAACATTTTTTGTAGATTATTACGAATTTCTAATTTGAGTAAAAGCCTTCTTAAATAATTCAACCGGTCTTTTTATAAGTCTATACGAAAATGATCTGTAGCCTTTGAAGAGTTAAAATATAAAATAAAAACTTGGACTATTTCGAAACAATTTCAATTTCATACGATTACAATAACTTTCTCGGAAGGAAGTTTACATTATCTGAAATAGGTTAATAATTTTATTATTATGTATTTAAATAATGATGAATCATTCGATTTTATTACAAGATACTTTTTCCAAGTAATACATAAATTTATTTCCTGCGCGGGAACCACTAAATGATTATTGATACCAAATTACTCCGATGCAGATCATGTGCGTTGAATACTTTTAACTAAGCGTGATGCTAATAATAGCAATTTTATATTTATTTTTATTGAAACTATTTTACTATTTATTATTCTTTGTGGTAAATACCTATTTTAGTGAATTTCGCTTAAAAAACATTTTTAATGATCGGTTGATGTTTTAGAACATTCAATAGTATACACTTTTACACTTCCTTTTTTTATTATCTGACTTTACACTTTTTTCAAGTAGTTTAACGTCTGCACTTTTCTTCCTTCCGTTACAATAAATCTATCACGCAATGTGCAATCTCTCTCAAAAATGTGTCAGTACTTAACACTTTTCCCGTACTTAAGGGAGTATTCTAGTGTAGAGCGATGATTTTCAGGTCATTTTTAAAGTGTCGTAAAAGAAAGCAATGAATGTTTTCAATATCCATTTTTTACCACTTGTTTATTAATATTATTAAAATACAAAACAAAAATTAGAAAATAAAAAAGTTGAAAATTGTAAAAACTGCTGCTGATGAAGTGGGTGGTCTCAAAAAATTGGCACCTCAGTCTTGACATGATTTCAGCTATCCTAGCCATCGGAAATGCAAAAATTAAAAAGATTATTAATCTACAGTGATGTCGCAATCGCCAGAACTAGCGATGAGTAAAAAAATTTTTTTTACAAATTGGCGACTGTTTGAAAAAAAAAAGTGTTGTTTTACTGTTTTTTGAGTTTCTCGAATTATTTAAGTAAAAATTGGAATTTGGGGATAATCCTAGTTCGGGCTATAGATAGGTCTATAAATAAAACTCTCTGAACATTTCAAGTGAATCGGTCGATTAAAACATGAGAAATCGTGTCAACAGTACTGAAAAAGTTCTGAGAAAAACGCATTTAAAGTTTTGCGTGAAGCCAAACTAGTATGGAGACCAAGACAGTAAAATGCCTATATTCCCGAAAATAATTCAAATTTTCAAAAACCTTCTCGTACCCATATTCTTAGATAGTTAAACTTTGAAAATATGAAATAAAAAAAAGAATTATTATGAATAAAAAGAAAGAAAAAAAGAAATTTTTGAATTTCTACACTAGAATACCCCCTTAATACATTCATAATATTCCTATAATTTTAACAAAATATCCATTTTTTCCTTTTCCAAAAATTCGAATTTTAGCTTTAGTATTAATAGTAGCTATATCCAGGGCCGGTCCTGGGATACTCAGCGCCCGCATGCACATTTTTTTCTAGCGCCCCCCTCCCTGTTATTTTAATTTTTTGAACAGTTTATCAAAATTGTATAAACATTTACATAAATTTTTTAAACTAATTTTTATTATATATGGATTTTCTACACAAAAAATGGATATCTATAATCTGAATGCGCAAAAAATACATTGATTTTGAAATTATTTACAAGATCACGGCGATTTGCGGGTCAAGATCAAGGCGATCAAATTTTAGTTCCTTCTATCGTTGTCGCACTAAAGAAGTATTTTTAAATTCTTATTTCCAATACAAACTTTTTTTGACATCTAAAAATTTCAGTATGTTTCATTATTGCTTGCAAGAATATTTCTAAAATTTTCTTTTATTTTTAACACATGTACAATATTAATATTTAGCTTTTGAAAACTTTTACTTATTTATTTTGGGGATTTTATGCGATTTATTCTATTGAACAAATCACAGAGAGCAAAAAATTCTAGCCTCTCATTATTAAAACATAATACTGGTACTTAATGTTAGATTATTTTAATTTAATTTTTCATTATTTACAATATCTAAAATTGCATATTAAACTTCTAATTGTAAAATTCTAAAAGGGCTGAAGTGTATGTATTTACCTATACTTTCCCATCGTGTATCAGATTGTTGTTTTAAAGTTTAAAAAATATTGTTCAAGATTAGTTAAAAGTTAAAAATTATATATTTTTTAATGATATGTTGTTTAATGATATTTTAATAAATTTGTCGCCTCCTAAGGCGTGCGCCCGCATTTTTTGCATGCATCGCAAATTTAATTTTATATTTAATTATTTATATATATAAGTTTAAATCAAGACGAATTATATATGTATGCAACCGTTATAGACAGCGAGTGAAAATTTATGTTTAATGAAATGAGTAATTAAACACTTATATTAGTAAGTACTTTATTGTATTTTTATGTGGTAATAAAAATAATGTTTACTTTCAATATCGTTATAATAATATGGTAGTTTCATCGCATTGTGATATTTTACATTCATCAATGTTATTTCATGATTTTATTAAACTTTTATGTTGAATTGAATGCTCTTAAATCAAAACTAAATTTTTAAAATTGAATTTGAATCTTTAATATATAGTTAATGAATAAAAATAGAATAAGGTTTAGTTTGGTATTACATTGTTTGCTATATTAAAATTAATCGTTCTTATATTATTTCCTTTTATTATTATACATGATTTTAGAGTAACAATAATTGATGATATAGACTGCCCTAATATTACATGAATACATAAATTACTAAATATTGTTTAATAACTGAGCGTTTTTTTCGTTCATTTAATAATATTTTTTTCTAAATATTGTAAAACTTTATTTTTTTTATATATTACTATTTCAAAAAATATATGATTTGAATATGAATTATTAAAAAAAAATCAATCAGATTTTAAAATCTGCAAAGATAATTGAAATGTTCTAAACTTTTTGATTATCAGTATTCAATATTATGGATATAATTGTATAGTTTTTTCCGAGCGAATTTTCTTAAAATTAGTAAAATTATAAGGAGATATATAAAGTTATAGTATGGTGGTACGGAACTCAAGATATAGTAAGCAAAATTATAGAATATATGATAATTTGATTATGACTTGTTTTTGGATATCAAAATGATTATGGGAAATGAAAATTGTAAGCGACATAGATTAAACATAATAAGGTATATCGATAGGTATTCAAAGATAATTCCGGCATTTCTACTTGCTCCCACAGCGCTTGTATTCTCATGCTCTTCTAGCAATGAATAAGTATGGAGGTCAGCGCATAGCATCAACAATGTACAGGATTAGGATAAAGGTCACTTATAGTAAAATATATACATATATATCCGCTTATCATCCTCGTCATGACGAAAAGTGTACAAATGACATACCAGACCATCCGAGAGAACTCTCCCCACTAATAGTGCGATACCTCAAGTTCCACCGACATCGGTGCGGTGTCTTCTTCTTCGTCTCGGGGGACATAACCCAAACAATATAAAAGCAAATAAGAAGGAAGACGCTCCATCAGTTAATAGACTGCAATTGATGAGCATAGAAACCTATTAAAATACGGATTACAACAAATAGCAAAAGGATGACGATGAATTCGTATTGCTTGAATATCATGTGCGCGGTGTTTTTGTGTTTTTCCGTGTACCCGACACAGTCCTTCGACTTGCCTGCTGCGGGTGCAAAGATGGTGCATCGACTATACTTGGAATGCGCTAGGGCTGATGATGGTTTTTCGCCGTGTCTCAAGAAGCGTGCCATCGCGTTCGTGGATCGTTTAACTTCTGTTGAGACCTTACCCTTGGCGGAGGGGCTGCAGGTTGTGCGAACCGGAATTCCGGTGACTCAGAAGAGCGTCGAAGGATTGTCGACTACGCGCAGCTTACAGGAGCGAGACTTGGAGCTCACCGATATGCTCATCGAACGCGTTGCTAACTATTTGAACACGCGGACGGTACAGATCACTTTCCCGCCAATGACTTCCGATGAGCTCGGCAGGAGTGTCGAGGAAGGTTTGTAATCTGTCTAATAATTAATAATATATATATGTATATATATATATATATATATATATATATATATATAATAAATCGTCAGTGAGTCTTTGCTTATATTCATTTTACAATCTGTACAAGATAACAAAGAAATCGCAAAAAATATAAAACTGATTTTTCAGAAAATTGGAGCTCTAATATATATTTTATAGATGCAAAATAAATATAAAATTATTTCTAACACAAACCATTTGCTTGATAAACTGGCTGATTTATTGCAAATTGTACTAAAAACAATAGTACTCGTAAAAATAATAGGAAAAGTACGAGTGCATTAATATATTATAATTATATCGATCATACAAGTTGTGTTATATAGATGCACTAAATGTTTGCATATGCGTACGCATATATAAGAACAATACTAATCTCGGATAAGGCATGATACTTCTATCTAATTGACAAATTTTGGTAAAAATCTTCCAGTTAAATGCATAACAAAAAATTATACTTTACAATATTACACAAAATATTTCCTAATCTATTTACGTCAGGATAGTTTAAATTAATTTTTTATTAATAAAAATGCACCAACCAGCAATTTATTGAAATATTTTAAACTTTGTGCATTATGTGTAAGCATATAAGTATTCGAAATAATCAATTTTATAAGGCAAATATAATTGTCTTTCATCCCTTCGTTACTTGTATAGAAGTTGAGAACGATTGTTTTACTGAATCCTCAAAATTGTCTGAAACAAACAAAAAAGCAAAAATGCTATTCGAAATACTAATCGTGTACTTGAAACAGTAGGGGAAAATGGGTAATAATTTTGATAATTCGCCAATTAGCTGAGAGAAAAGTAAATTAAGAGGTAGTTTAAAGAATTGTCTACGTGAAAATACTGAAATGCTGTCTTGGAATATGATGATTTTGTCATAAAACAAAATCACACCAAAAAAAGGGCGAGTCTCACAATCGTTTACACTCGAGGGACGGTTGTGACAGGCATAAAAATACGTTAAAAAAACAATAGCAATGAATGCTATACTGGTTTGTAACAACTTTTATTGTCCTTAACAACAATAACATGTAACACAACACAACATAAAGTTTTAAACAAAGCTTATGAATAAAATATAACAATATGTAACAAAACATATTTTTTAAACGAAAGTTAACAAGAATTCTTTGTGATCTATCTGTATAAAAGTTACAGTTATTATTGAAAAAATCGAACATGAGAACTTATTTTTGATTCTTTAAAAGCAATGCGGCGGTCATAGATAATGTTGATGTAAGGCACTGACTGTAAGCAATAATGGGAACTTGTTCGAACAATCATACTTCATCTTCCTCACTTTGGACCCTTTCTCAAAATCAGTTTATTTTAGCTGTTATGACGACTGTTACTACCGTACCCTGCACAACCGTACCCAGGCTCTCTTATTTATATTCTAATTTTTATTTAATACTTCTTCTTGAATAAATCGTTGACTAAATAACAATAATAGATGTTCCAATTTGATTCAAATAAATTGATTAATTAGTAGAGATTTAGCAAATGCATTATTTTCTTGAGATATGTTAACTTTTCGAACCCGCGATGATATATTAATTTGATAAATGAAGAAAGTGTAATTGGCAGATATGAAAGTAATTAATTTGTGGAATCAACTGACACAAATAGATATCTATAATGTTTATTATTAGAAACCTAACACCATAGATTTTATATCCTCATTTTATATACTAACAAATTTCATTAATTGACTCTTTGAGTTGATGTAAATGTCCTACATTCCGTTAAATGTAGGATGTAAATTTATTAACAGTTATAAAAGCGCACAAAAATTTTATTATATGCGGTGTTAATTATCACAGTTTTTTTCAATTTCAATATTGTTTTAGTTCTTTCAAGTCATGCTCACCTCAATTTCTCACTGTTTAGATAGAATTAATAATATTCATGTTATTATTAAGCGTTAGTGTGCTAATTCATTTAATTTTTTTTGTATATAAATTATCAATGATTCTCATATTTCTATTCAATCTATCTCTTAATTCCGTAATAATACTATCCATTATTCTTTACTTGCATTTAATATTACTTATGTTTTATATTTTATGATTAATGTGTTTTCTCGATGCACGATTAATAAATTAAACTAATATTAACAATTTTATGTGTAAAATAATCTTAGATAATAGAAAAACATTAAATAGCCTAACAGTGCCTTAACAGTGTATTTATTCATTTAATATATATATATATATATATATATATATATGTGACATTGATGGACACATATTTTAACTTTATGAATAAGTTCATTAATAATTTTTGTCATTGTGCTTATGACGGTCATGAAATTTACATGCATATGGGCTTTGGGAATTAATCGGTGTTTTTTATGACAAATGCTTTTTTGTGAGCATCGTATTCATATCTAGGTATGTTTTATTATTTATACAAATAAAAAATGTTGCCATAATGAACATCTTGCTTTCCCATGTCTCTTAAGAGGCATTAATGTCGATTTCATTGCGCCGTTTGATTTGACGTCCATTAATTTTAATTAATTGCGCTGTCCGTTTCGCGTTTGAAGTTGGGACAAAAGACCTCTATTTGTCTTTTGCTTTGTGATGGTTTAAGCAGTATCGCGATATACTATTGTGACCTCATTGCTTTCCTTGTTAAAGTACATAACAAACTACTTTCTGTTGCATTGTTAAACTGAATTGACCTATAATCTGCACGTACATATCCCTCATTGGTCTTTTAACAACAATAGCGAAGAATCTTATCATCGATATACATACCTGTTTACAGTAATGTTTAGGTTTACAATACTGAATGATTACCCGCTAGAGCAGCAATATGTAGTCTTATCCTTTGAAATACCATAGAATCAAAACTCAATTTTGTACCCCCAATTAATTTGTGATGAAGAATTCAGGTACGGTTATTAAATGAGAATTTATTTAAGACTTCAAAATGGCAAATTATAATGACAAAAATTATCAATTAACTTATTAACAAAGTTAAAATATCCATCAGTGACCTTTGCATATATATATATATATATATCTATATATATATATATATATATATATATATATATATATATAAATGAGAGAAATCTCTCGCACTTTTCTTTCCTGAATCGAGCTGGAGTTTAACTCAGCTCACGGTCCTACCCTAAGGTAGTACGACCCATTATTTATATTAAATGGTTAGGTAAAACAATTAAATAAGTGACAAAATAAGTTAACTTAGCGACGAATAAATGAGTTTTATTCATTCATTTGTTCGCTAAATTACATTTAAAAACCATTTTTAAAATTTTTGAAAATGTTTCTATGCTATTTCCATACAAAACTTTGATTGAATTGAATTGATCTAAACGTTAATATTAAGAGCTAAAACTTTCAGAGAATTGTTTTTTATCTATTTGGAACCATTTGAGCCCCTGGGAGCAAGAAAACTCGAAAATGACCATTTTAAGAACCACCCTAATATATATATTACACAAAATTGTTAATTTTAGTTTAATTCATGCATGCATTGAGAAAATACACTTATTATAAAATACTAAACATAAATTACATTTAAATGCATTTAAAAGATAATGCATAGTACAAAATTAATTTTTTTATTTGCCACTGAATTATGTATGCTTATTAAATGAAAGTGATTCAATATTTAAATAAAAACATTATTTCTGTAGAGAATAGTAAAAACGTAAAAGCGTAAAAACGTATTATTTTTGCGGTTTAATAATAGTTTGTTGAATTGAATTTGCTGATTGAATCTCCAATCAAGCTGTTTTCTTCATAGAATTAATATAAATTAAATTTACATTAGATTATTCGAGATTATATATAAATCAATGATAATCATATATAAAATATGATTTTACATATTTTTTGAAATTTTAAGTAATATTATTTCTAATTTTTATACAAATTCTTAATAAATGCGTAATAATTGAAAAGTTAATAAGTGTATCTACTTTAATTGACTAAATATTTAGTAGAATTGAACTCAAAAACAAAGATGTATCTCTTCTAGTACTAGATGAAAAGCTGCTGTGAGCTTTCTTATTTGTTTACTCGATAAAATCGACTTAGAAAATATTTTCATTACTTTTAGCGATGTTGGGTTTAAACACTGGGTACAATATTCACTTTAATCTTAATTTCTAAATCCTCGCCTTACAACGTTGAACTAAATCGAGTGTCCATCAAGATTAGATAAGAATAATAATCGTGAAGGGACGTCATTTCATAGCACATTACGCTAACGATGAATTTAAATCAACGCGAGGTATACTATAAACTTTCTCGTCGTAGGTGCGCCAAGAATCAAGAATGCTTTCGTTTGCCATTCGTGATATACTTCGCCGACCTCTGCGCCGGTGCATAATTCCTAATAGTAGTCTATCGAGTCTATCGAGTCCCTGGCATTGGGGACGAGTGCCGCGATTACCGCGAGTACCACCTACTCGAGCACTTGCAGCAAGTAGGTCTCGTATGTCATCGCTCATTGCAGACAACGGCGCATCTCTATGACCCGCTGACCTTTGCATTGTTGATGGATGGAGAAAATATACTTACATAAATTAACTATCTGAACTTGATTCGAAACAATTTCTACTGACAATGAGATAATGAATAAACGTACATCCGCGCTCGTACAATATTCACATCATAACTATATCAATAATCTTATCTAGGAACGCGTGAACACATAGGGAAGTCGTTTATATTGCACTACTTTATACTAACTTATTTGCTGATTATAAACAAATTGTTCAGAACTGAAAAATCTATCTCATATCACCGGCTGTTATTTCGTAATAGAATGTGAAATTAAAACAATAAAAATAAACTTTCATTAATTAACTTCCCGAAGAAGAAGTTCATGCTTTCATCAATTTCATCAAAAAATCCGATTTGCTAGTTTTATGTTTTCTTGACGTTTCAAGCCATTCTGAATCGAATGGGACTAAATTTGGAAAAGGTATGTGTGTGTGTATGTGTATGCGTGTGAACAGATTTTTTGTTGTAAATCGACGTTTTCTCAAAAACGGCTGAACCGATTTTAAAAATTAAAAAGCCATTCGATGCACCTCGATGAGGACCATTGTTTCTCAGTTTTGTGCGACGATCGGCCAAGCCGTTTCTTTATAAATAGCAGAAAAGTGCAAAACTTTGGGAAAATGGGTAGCTTTTTTGGCGTTTGTTAAAATTAAAATTAGACTATTTACTTGGTATAGCGATAGAGTACATAGTCTTAATGAAAATACTAAACCATTAAAGTCCTACAGCAACTGGTTCAATTATAAAAGTTGTTGATTTTTGAAAATTTGCTTTTAGAAAATACTCAGAGTTAACGTGTTTGTTCGTTTTCAATTATGTGTATTAAATCCACTCGGAATACGAGGTCTGTTCAAAAAGTTTTCGTAATTTTCGTTTTTTCAAAAAAATATTTATTTATTCGTCTACATTAATGTGGTCCCCTTCAAAGTAGTCCCCCCCAGATATAATACACTTATGCCAGCGTTTTTTCCAATTTTCGAAGCACCCTTGATATTCACTTTTGATATGTCCTTGAGCACTCTCGGCGATTTTCTTCAATCGAGGAAAACCGCCGTCCTTTCATGGGTCTCTTCAACTTTGGGAATAGGAAAAAGTCACACGGAGCCATATCTGGTGAATTTTTGCACTTTGCAACACTTTATTTCATTTTTTACGCAAAATTTAATACAAATTCTTTGACTTTTTCAATTCTTCCATTGTAAAAATCGCCGAGCTCAGAAAAACACGTCGAACCTTAGCGACTACCACAGACAAAGTAAACAGTGAATATAGCTGAAAATTTCATCATACTTTAGGGGCATGTATACCAACACAATAAAAAAAAATTTTGACAATCAGACACTCCAGACCCGCGAAATTTAATTATTAGTAATTCCGGGTACTTTTTGAACAGACCATGTACTTTTAATCACTCATAAATTAATTTATTTTTTATTGATTAAGTCGATAATTTACACATAGCGGGAAGTATATGTAACTTACCTCAAGGTAAAATACCAATATCAAGTTATAATTATTATTCAACTTTCTATGCTTCTTTTTCATATGATAAGCAGTATAACAATCATCTACATGTAATGGACCACAACAGCTTTTACAAATATATCTAGTTTCGGTCAGCAACGTTCGGCCATAAAAACACGAGTTAAACAATTCTTAATATGCTTCAATAGTATAATTGATATTATTTAAACCCACTAACCGATTAAAATTTTCTAATAATAAACAAAAAAAAACATATTATACCTTTTTTATATGGATAGGGGAGGTAGGGGCTTGTTGTAATAGTTTTTTTTAAGTTATTATATCTTAAGATCAACTGATTATATTTCTATAAAATAAATATGAATAAATGCTATAACTTTGTCTCTACCGATCCCAGTAATAATAATCTCACTACTATTGTACACAATTGTTATTGTTTTTCACAATTAGAAATTTAGAAAATGTGCGGCGTTACAACTCACCCTAACTAAGGGTGAGTTACTAACGACAAAAATACGACAATAATGTCTCTGATAACTTATTCTTTGCTTATTTTAAAAAAAAATTAACATGCTGTATATACGTTTTATAAATCAACGTAAACTATGATTAATGCACATAAAAAATATGGTGTCTCCTGTCAAAGAAATTTTTATAATAAATTAACGTAAACTGCAATTATTATCATAATACAAATAAAATATATAGTGTCTCATATATAATACATTTTATATGTGCCCAGAGCCTACAAACTATAAATATCACCCAATATTTTCACCTGAATCTGTACATCAATTTTGTATGTTACAACTAGCCCAAGGTTTTGTTTAATTAATCCCAGGTGTGATTTTTTTTACATTATTCAAGATAACTGTTTAAACAATTCAGCAATCACAATTTTTCTACACATTATCAAAGATAATTTTGTATATTGCACAGACTTGCGGGAAAGCAGCTATGCCAATATTATGCAGGACGGTTTACATGTCTAATTGAGACAAAAAATATTTTAATATTGTTCAAAATCCTATTGAAAAGCGCCTGTTACTACTTATCTCTGTTAAATAAAGCTTTTCTATTTCATGTTAAATATTAATTAAAAATGTATTAAATCCAAATCATACAATTTATTTAAATTAGTGAATATATTAAATGGATTTTAATATGTATAAACATTTATGAATATTAGAGCAGTCAGTTTTAAGCGAATGTTTCAGTAATACTTTATTTAGAAATAATGATTGCTCTTATAAGATTGTTCTAGTTTCAATTGAAATCAAAATCCTTTAAGTATTATTGATTTTTTTAGTTTGGTCTATAGTAAAGTTCCAAACTTATATGCTATTTAATTCATCTAATCATACCCAGACTTCCAATCACTGGATTGGCTTTCGATTTAGACATATTTCACCCGAAATTTGCTGATGTTTTATAATGAAATAAACGCAGATATTAAGAAAAAAGAATTAATGAAAGAACTAAGGTTTACTAATGTTGTTAAAAATTGGTGTATTTGTTTATGTTTTTTAAATACATTTATTAAGAACTTCGCCCCTTCTAGGTTTGTTCATATCTAATGAATTCGTTTTAATTTCGATTATTATTTTCAGGCCGAGGAAAAATGAAGAAAATGATGGGAATGATGATGATGGGTTTTGCGATGAAAATGGCTGCAATGATCCCAATAGCATTAGCGGGACTCTTTGTGCTTGCAGGAAAAGCGCTGATCATATCGAAAATAGCGCTACTTCTTGCTGGAATCATCGGTCTTAAAAAGCTGCTCAGTTCCAAACAAGGTATGAACGACATAATTAACTTTAAATAAAATTTACAAACAAATTTTGTGCTTTAGACTTAGTCGATGTTTTGAATTCTAAATTTTAATATTGAAAATTAATTTTTATTTTGCCATTTGTTATTGAACTTTTTATGCAAAGCGAAGGCATAAAACTTTGACATTGATACACTTCCTACAAATATTTGGCATAAGCCAAATGTACGCTGTTTTAATTTTTTTAAATATTTCATAACAATATTTCGCCTTACTAGAATTGCGAAAAATCCTGGTTTTCTTTTCCAGTTAATAGAATATATTTAATATGTCGAAAGTTGAAGAAATTTCAAAATGTCAATAATTTCAAATACTAGAATAAATTATACTTTTATTAAGTGCTCAGTGACTTTTTAACTTACTCCGCAAATTTGACGTGCATGTGTCATTTACAGTTATTTCACTTTACTACAGAGACTTTGTATTGATATACACACAGACATACTAGAAACCATGAATGTGACTTCCATGCCTTCAAGTAATTTCTATTGTTTTGTACTATAATAGTTCAAACAAAACTTTATTGGTGTAATTTTATTATCTTGTATCTCTCAATACACTTTTTTTAAACTAAAAAAGTTTTCTAAATTTGAAATTTGAAATGAAAATTTTGGACTAAAGCATACTTTCTATGCTTCAGTCTAAAACATGTTTGACAGAATGGCACGAAAACCGTGAAGTATCATTTAATTATTTTGAGATTTAATCATCATAGGGCCAAAATCTCGCAAGCTTTCGATGATTGTTTAATTTATTTTGTAATTGCAAATTCTTCGTCGTATTATATAATATGAGAGTTATCCGAGCGCAAATTAAACTAAAAATTCTCTATACTTTGGCTAAAGCCGTACTTTTATCTGTCTGTCTACATTAACTGTATGCTGTATCGAACGTGTACTTTCGCACCGGTGGCGAATGTAATTGATTCTTGATTCTGTGATTAAGATATATGGTGATTCGAATAATGTACGATGGCAGATGAGTCATCTTCATCAAGACGAACGGATTGAATTATCAGAACGTGAGAATTATTTTAATGGGCTCTCGAAGAAATTAGTTTGAATCTGGAATCTCATTGGAACAGAGAAAGCTTCGAATATTACTTGCTCACAATTAGTACTATGTAAATAACTATAGGTGTATTAATTATAGTTTTGTGATTTTTACATTCTTCCGGTTTGACGCAGTCGACCTAGTCTTCGCGTATATTGTTATAAATAATACTTTACGGTAGACTTTAGATTCTTCTTGTAATAAAAGTGTTTTATCGCGTTTCTTAATTGCAAGATCTTATATTTATACAAAGAAGGCAGTGTGATGAATAGAACAAAATAACTTACTGACATACATATTTTAACCTGAATTTGCTCATCATCACTCACAAATTATCAATCATTGCAGATAATAGTCTTTCTCGTAATATTGCTCATTATTCTTCAAAAACATTTTGTCATATTGTAAAATTATAGTTCAATTTTAACAAATTCATATATTATTATTGTACATCCTGAATTGGTTTTATTGCATACTTAAAAATATTATTCCACTAAATAATAAAAAGTTTAAATAATACGCTCGAAATTTCAAAAATGTGAAAATTTAACGAAACCATAGTAGTATAGTTTGGACTTTGAATCGGTAAATTTATTTAAAACCATTATTGATACTTTCTTTTGTAATTTGTAATTTTTGTCAAGTTTCATAATTGGCCCTCTTTTGTCTATCACGTATTGATATAATGAAAATTTAAAATCCGGTTTATAATTTTTTTTAAATATTCGTAAATGAAGTAACTAAAAATTCAGATACTTTTAATAGTAATAATTTGATTTTTTCTGTTTTTGCTGAATATTAACGGAATATATATTTGAAGCATGATTTGATTCTATTAAAAAATGATAATAAATGCCCACGGTAAGGCAGTTCTATGATATCTTCTTTATGACAACATGTATTTTTTCTTTTTGTGAAAATCGTCAATTAATTGTATTCTTCTCCGACCTAAGTCAGTCTATCTTCTATGTCAAATTGGTCTTCTATATTCGCATTTTATGTTACAGCATGCGCGTAGGGACTGTTTACCTTCGCAAAACCTTTTAATAAACAACTAAATTTTACCAAACAATTAGTGAAATATTGATAATCGTTCTTGATTGATAGGAGGAGGAGGTGGCGGTCACGGCGGCGGCTGGTCAAGTGGCGGCGGCAGCGGTGGCTGGTCCAGCGGCGGCGGCGGTGGCGGATGGGACAAGAGATCGTTCTCGGCGCAAGAACTCGCTTACAATGCGCATGTCAAATGATTTTCGACGATCGACTTGGTATAAATAGCTGTTGAATTGTATATAATTATTTATTTATTTTAAATAAGGATATTTACATGATTTAGATAATTTATTACGAACTGATAATATTTTGAATAATAAAAATATTTATATAAAATTATTTTGTTCGAAAACATGCCCCGCCTTTCCTCAACAGCGCGTTTGTTGATAATTCAATTTGCAAAGAATTGCAAATTATAAGCCGAGTTGAACATTGCCAGTACTAAATATTTATTGTCTTAGTTGTATTATAGTAATATTCGATTAGTATATTTTGAATAAGCATGCAAGTAGCTATTGTTAGTATTATCAAAAGTATGCACAATTGAAGGTCGTCTATTTGAAGCTCAATCAAAATGACATACCCTATGATCTGCGCGAATCTTATTGAACTTTTTTCAAATAAAAATTATAATTATTTTTTTTACGTTTTATTATTCTTTATTACTTCAATAGCCACATATTATATATTTATATTTAGTTACATTATTATGTTGATCAAAAACAAATCCGATCTTGTGATTTTTTGTTGATGAATTTGCTATTGAAATATTACAATTTAATATTTCATGTTTAATTTATAGAGTATGTTGTTTTTCCTCAAATATTTGTTATGTAAGCATAATTTTAGAAATAGTTTATTATAATTCTTTATATAATTTTGACTTAAATATTAATATACTGGTATCAGTTTATTTATAGTGATGTATTGAGGAAATTAGTGATCTATTGCTATTAAATATAATTATTACCGAGCATAGAGAGCAATTTTGATATGCTAAAATTGAAAAGCTTCTGCTTTCAATATTACATTTCAGATAATTTATGTTGATTTGACTGTTTTTTGTGACTATAATTTTTTTTCACAGTAGGCATGGTTTTAGCAGTAAATTCAAAATTTAAAATAGATTTGAAAAAATATTGAGCAGTTTTTATGAAATGAATAATTTATTTTATTATCTAATTAAACCAGAAGCTATCGATCTGGTCATTTTTATGATGAATAAATATGAATTATAATCAACAAATATACAATTAATCATATCTTTGTCCGAGTTATCAAAAGGTGGCTCATTAAAAAAACGAGGTAAGAATGATGAATGAAGTTTTATCTTCCGAAATTTTGCATGTATTTCCTGTAATATTAATTTTTTATTTGTGTGTATTTTTATGAAACCAATTTACGTGATTTTGATTGGATAGATTTTGATTGATTTCAAAATTAATTTTTAAAATGATTTTCTGAGAATGCAAACAATTGCGTTTTCAACTGTTGACTAAGCGCAAATGTCAAAGCCAAAAAAGCGCTCAAGTGATGGAGATACGCTCGCCTTGCCCTATGTTCATTATTTGACCACCCGGTTCAAATGGGCCAAAAGTATGTTGTTAAAAGATAGATTGCAAAAATGTATAAGAAGTCCCTGATCCACCGAGATGCTGCCGAACTCTATTAAAACACTTGCACTTTATTTATATTGTCAAAGGACCAGATATACTTAGAAAGTGGCTATATCAGACCGAATAAAAGATAATAAGTAGTGTTTAATTATTGTATATTTGGATGAAATATTAAGACTTATAGATAATATGTTAGATGTTATTGCTTTGAATGTTGTTTTAAGACTTGTTGCTTAGTTGAGTGTTGATTTAAGACTGATGTTAGCTAGATGATATTTGAGTTAATACTAAATTATAAGATTTTACAATTTTATATGATTTTTCTGATTGGCTCGTTTTTGTGGATTCAAGCACGTTTCATTACATTTTTGACCAATCAGGTATTAACCGGTGATTCCATGATACGTGGAAATCAATCGGGAACAGGTGATTAAGATTCTTAGAAAAATGGATTAATGGTATGATGATAGATTTAGGGACATGATGCATGACAATGAAAAGGCTTATTTAATAGTACTATATTATATAATAAGGGATGAGGGTTTGTTATTGCTATCCTGTCTGAAGGTAATAAAATATATAATTAGACCAGAGTTGAGTAAGGCTCAATTTGGATGTTTTTAGCCACTTTTATAATAATGTCGTTTAATCATATTATCAATATCAATATAATTATCATATTCACAAATGTTGCTTCTTTATTGTTTTGCATACATGAAGACTTGATCAACAATATAATTCATGTTGTGCTATTTTTTAAAATACATTCGTCACGATGATTTAATATTAACGCAATGCCTTGTATTAACTTTCTGTGGGGCAAGTTATAGTAATCGCAAAAAAATGGAAAATGAAAATTTTTATATATCTTTACGTTTCAAAGGTTTCTGAATATTTTGGCGTACCTTAGAAAAAATGGATGTATGTGTGTGTGTGCGGATACAAATTTTCGTCGACGATTTCGGGAACACCGATCAACCGATTTGAATAATTCAAGAAACCCTCGATTAATATTGATAAGGAGACGTGCTGATTAGTTTTTGGCAACGGCAGGTCTAGCCGTTTCAAAGATACGGGGCAAAAAGTGCCAAAAACGGTAACATACTTTTTAAGAGAATGGAGCGTCCGATTTTAAAAATTCAAAAAACCGTTTACTTGTATTGATAAGATGAATAACTGATTTAATTTTTGGGAAGACAAGTCTAGCGGTTATGGACTCTCAATAAAAACTAGTTGGTATTGGTATTTTGCCTTAAGGCAAGTTACATGAACTTCCCGTTTGTGTAAATAATCGACTTAATCCATGATAGATAAATTAATTCATGAGTAGTTAACAGTATTCAAAGTGGATTTATTACAAATTATTGAAAATCGAACACGTCAACCCGGTCGAAGTATTTTTTAAAAGCAAATTTTCAAAAATCAATAATTTTTATAATTGAGCCAGTTTTTGTAGGACTTTAATTGTTTAGTATGTTCATTAAGACCAAGTACTCTATCGTTATACCAAGTAAATCGACTAATTTTAATTTTAGCAAATGTCAAAAGAATTACTCATTTTCTCAAACTTTTTAAATTTTTAAAATTAAACTGCTTGTCGTAAGGCTGTAATATTTCAGTAAGTTCTATAAGGCCATGATATATATCGTTAAAAAAGTTCCATGAAAATCGGCTTAATTTTTTTTTTCAACTTTTAATTACAAGAAAACGGCTCGGTAGATTTTCACTAAAACTAATCAGTATTATTCCCAACTAATATCTTTCGAACAGTTTTTGATTTTTTAAAATCGATTCGGTAGAATGAGCTTAAATGTGGACAAAAAGTTTAACATTTTTTTTCAAATTACAAAGAAACGGCTCGGCAGATCAACTCACAAAACTGACAAACTATAGTGCTCATTGAGATACATCGAATGGCTTCTAAATTTCTGAAATCATTTCAGGCGTTTTTGAGCAAACGTCGATGAAAGGTCTAATTTTGACAAATGCCAAAAAAACGTTACCAATTTTTGCAAACTTTGACGAATTTTTAAAGCTAAACGAGTTGTCGTAGGGCCGTAATTTTTTAGTATGATCTAGATGACTATGGTATCTACCTTCAAAAAAAAATCATAAAAATCGTCGAATTTTTTTTTTTTAAACTTTATTACAAGAAAACGGCCCGGCCGATATTTCCAAAAACCAATCAGCACGATTCCCAACGAATATCTAGCGAACGGTTTTTGAATTTTCAAAATCAATTCAGAATTGCGGGCTAAAATGTAGACGAATTTTTTTTCAATTCTCTGCGATTTACAAAGAAACGGCCCGGCCAATCGTGGCACAAAACTCAAAAACCCTAGTCATCATTGAGATACATCGAATTGATCCCCACAATTCAAAAAACATTTTATTGGTATTGATTAAACGAAGAACTGTTAAAATTTTTGGAAAGGCAGGTCTAACGGTTATGAACTCTCAATATATATTTTTTAATGTAATTTGGCGGTAAAAATGTTCACTAGACATATGGATACCAAATTATCAGATATTCTATAGAGATTTTAATAATGTGTACACATTTTTGTGTCAATTTTTTGGGTTTCGTACCAAGATTTCTAATTTTGAAGTTTATGTCTATGGCTCAAACAAATGTCCTCGACATTTTTGACAGTATGGAATAACCGATCAGTATGATCGAAAAAATATTCGGTTCGTACTTAATCGCGAGGTCAAAAAAATTTTGGTCCAAAAAATTTTTTTTTTTCAAAATTTTTTTTGCCCAAAATTAGTTATCCAAATTATTTTCGGAAAAAAATTTTGGTCAAAAAAAATTTTGGTCAAAAAATTTTTGTCAAAAAAATTTTGGCCCAAAAAATTTTCGGAAAAAAATTTTTGTTGGCCAAAATAATTTGTCCAAAAATTTTTTTCCCAATTTTTTTTTGACCAAACATTTTTTTCCCAAAACTTTTTTCACCAAACATTTTTTTCCTAAAATTTTTTTGACCAAACTTTTTATTCCCAAAATTTTCTTGACCAAAAATTTCTTTCCAAAATTTTTTGTTCAAAAATGTTTTCCCAAAATCCTAAATTTCTAGAATTTTTTTCAAAAATTTTCTACTGGAATTTTTTTGACCAAAATTTTTTTGACCAAACATTTTTTTCCAAAATTTTTTTGACCAAACATTTTTTCCCCCAACATTTTTTTCCAAAATATTTTTGACCAAAATTTTTTTCCAAAATTTTTTTTTCAAAATTTTTTGACCAAAATTTTTTTCTACTTTTTTTTCTCAATTTTTTTTTGACCAAAAATTTTTTTCCCAAAATTTGGGCCGTTCTAATGCCAAGAGAAAACCAAAATTTTTTTTTCCGAAATTTTTTTGACCAAAATTTTTTTGATCAAAATTTTTTTGACCAAAATTTTTTTGACCAAAATTTTTTGACCAAAAATTTTTTGACCACAATTTTTTTGACCACAATTTTTTTGACCAAAAATTTTTTGACCAAAATTTTTTTCGCGAATTTTTTTTGACCAAAATTTTTTTGACCAAAAATTTGTTCGACCAAAAATTTTTTTGACTAAAAATTTTTTTGACCAATAT